CTAAGTAATAAACTTAACTATAAAAAACTTAAACTTTTTAAAATTTTATAAGTTATCTTATTAGTTAATTATAAGCTTAAACTCTTAAAAACTATAAAATACTACTTAATATTCTATATTTTATTTCTTAAATTAGTATTATAAGGATTATAAATAAATAACCTTATTATTATAGAAGATAATAAANAAGTATATAAGTATATATATATATAAAGTGAAATAATTATTAAGTTAACTTATAAATACCTCTAACTTCTAAAGTATTAACTAGCTAATTCTATTTTAATATATTTTATTTAAGGTATAGCTATATAGGCTTAAGTAATATAGTAATTATAGAAAGAGTAGGAAGGAGTTATAAGTATATCTATAGATAAAATATATTAGTATAAGAAATAATTAAGAAATAAATTTAATATTTACTTAAAATCTCCTTATTCTTACTAAAGTTAAAGTAGTAATAAGTATACTAAACTTTATATATAGGATTAAATCCCTTAAGGGGGGGGTAGACTATAAATTATAAGTTAGTAAAATATTAGCTAAGGATATTACTAAACTTACTTTATCCCTTATTATTCTATAATAAGTAACTATAGTATTATTTATCTACTTTAATACTAATATTAGTTTTTATAGTAATAAAGTTTAACTATAAACTATTAGTAATATATTAGGGAAATAATCTAAAAATATTTCTATTTACTATACTATTCCCTAAAGTAGGGATATTAAGGATATAGTAATCCTTAATAATAGCTTTTATTTTATAAGAGGTATTTAGTAGAGTATTAATATTAGTTATAAATAGCTTTATATTATAATAGAAGTTTAGAATTACTAAAGTTAATATATAATTAAAGTAGAAATAATTTAAAAAGGATATACTATTTATCTTATAATTAGTAGTACCTTTTAGGGTATTATTATAGGAGAGGGTAACTTTAATTTTATAATTATTAGTAATATACTTCTTAAAAATACTAAGAGAAAACTACTTATATTTCTAGAAATTATTAGATAAAAATACTAAATATAAGGGAATTATTTTATATAATATAGTAGAAACCTTTAGTATTAAAGTTATAGTAATAATAAAATAGCTCTCTAGTAGTAATAATAACTTAACTTTACTATTTAAATTATTAATTTAAATATATTAAAAATATTTCCTATAAGAGATATAATATTTTATTAATAAGTATTTATAAGATTAGTCTTAAAAACTAAAAAGTATAATTAGTACTTACTATTTATATTATTAATATATTACTAAAACTACTTAGAATTTTAGTAGTTAGAAGGTATTATAACGAGAAATAGTTAAGAAATATTTCTAATATTATAAAAGTTATATTAAGTATTAGAGTTAGTTATTTTATAAAAATTTATAGTAATAATAAGGGAAATACTAAGTAGGAGATATATTATAGAAGTAGATTATTTCTAAAACTTAGTTAGTAAGTATAATAGCTAATCTTAGATTATTTCTAATTAGTTTAGGGAGGATTTTCTAAATATTTCTAACTAAGTACTAAAACTAATTTTTTTAATTAGCTATTTAAGTAAGATCTACTAGTTTTAGACTTAACCTTTACGCCACCCCACGCACAGACCTTTAGACTCACATGGGGTGTGTGATTCTAACCTTATGTATAGACTCGTTTTCTCTCACTAACGCACAGAGAATTCGGCCTTGCCCTTCGTTAAGCCCCCTCTCTGAACAGTGCCTGAAGGTTTCGTTCGTCTCTTGAGAGGGTGTGCCCTCGTCCTGAGATGATGACAACAGAGAGGTTGGGAAAGACAGGGGAAGCGGAGTGTATTCCGCTACAGCAGGTGTCCATTTTGTTCTCTGTGTGCTTGGGAACATGCTGCCACCATCACTCAACGCTTGTTGGGTGTGTAACATAAGAACAAGCCCTTACGTCAGGCAAGACACCTTTAGGATTCCGACTCGATGATAGCAAACATTAGTTGAGAAGAAGGGCGTGGCTTCTAGGGGTTGCGAAACATGAGCCGATGTGGCTTTTCGCCGTGGGCTGTACATCAATGTGCACAAGAATTAGGTAGCGAGAGAGACGGCGCATCAGGTTGAGGGACTCTGGTGCTTCAAGTTGCCGTGGGTGCTGGAAATCGCCGGAGCAAAAGAGCGAACTCGCCAACAGGAGCGGCCTGAGGTATACTTGGCAACGTGAAGTCGACCTGAGGAACCCAGTTTCCAACCTCTCGATCTATGTAACGTGGCTAGGGCGGAAGGCTTGAAAGAGCCCTCGACGCGGGGCATCAAACCTAGTGCCTCGGGCAATTCTGCTCGCAAGGCGTTGTCGCCAGCCTCGGGCGACCCGCGCATCCGTTGTATGCCACCTGATACCAACAAGAGTGCAAGGAAGTCCCTGTGATGAGCAGGGTTTCATAATGCGGCGTGGTGCTGGGGGCTCATAGACCACACCTAGGTGAAGCGGCGCCGAAATTGCAAAAGAGGAGCCGCCCGGAGGAAAATATCCAGGCGGAAGGGAAGAATACGGCGACGCGGATACGGTACGGTGCGGTGCGGTGCGGCAAGAAGGGGGGAGGTTGGGCAGACATGGGGCCCTGCTTTTTTACTCAGCTGCTGCCATTCACAACGCCGCCGCACGCGATGTCATTTCTTCCCTGCCGCTCCGCTTCGCAAACCATGGCATATCAGGTACCGGATGAAGCCGATAGGACGGGTGAATGGGTGAGAATCAGGCTGGTCGAAGTATGCGCAAGTGCCGGTGAGGACGCAGGGCAGCTAGCACAAACAGATGCAAAGCCTTGAAAGATTTCATGGCAGCTGTTGCGATGCAGATTCGAGGGAGTGTTGCGATGCGCTGAAGGTATTTGTACTTCCGTCGCATTTGGTCAAAGTAAGAGGTAGCTACGTTCCCTACCTTACCGTCAGCATGGTGGACTTTGTGGTGGGGCGAGAGCTACGGAGCTATGATCCATCCCACACGGTACCTTACCGTAGCTGCAAAACGGTACCTTGCTGAGTTAGTGCTTGCGACAGACGAGAGGGGAGGAGGCCGCAAACCCAGATCACTCACTTCCCATCGGAACTCTGGGCAGGTTACCATGGTGGGTTGAGGCACCGCAAGTGGGCTCGACCTCAGGCACTCAAGGTCTGAGCAGCGGACAGGTGGAAGAGAATTTGATGTACGTAGAAAGATGTCTACGTGTAAGCTGAAGGAAAGGCACCAAAGTAACATTCGAATGCCTTGCCATCACCGAGGCTTCATTGTCTGGTTCCATAGGGTGGATTGCCCTTCCTCACCGGCAGCTTCGCAGGTCGTCCCGTGAGAGGCTCATGTAGCTTAGTTGCACACACGCAAACACCCACCCACACACATACACATACACACACACACACCTGCCTGGTCAAGGCAAGGAAGGTATCTCATGCAGACCAGAGCTACCGTGGCTCTTGCCTTACCAGCTACCTACTGACCTGACCTGACGCGGGATTGGCCTTACCTGCCTGACCAAACTGGACATGCGAAAAAAGTTTCTCCTCCACCTCAAGCGTAAAAACAGCTGGATCTAGACCTGAGACCTGGACCTTGTTTGCGCACGAAGCTCTGCAATCTGGGGAAGGAACTGCCCTGCACCTGCATCTGCACGGCAATAGCCACACAGCTTTGGAGACAGAGACCGAGATACAGAAAGAGTCTGTGCCTCAACCCGCTTGTGTCCAGTCTCCGTTACCTGGTCCCGACCACGCCGCCGCACCATCATCCCTTCCCGCCTTTTCCACCACTTTCCTCTTCATCACGACGGCCAACCCTTCCCTCATTTTTTTTTTGTTACCATTCTAGATTCTTTTCGCCCTCACCGCCCCACGTTCACAGTGTTTCCGATGTCCTGTTCCCCGTCCCAAACCTCGATTTGTACCTAACTGCATACACTTCCGCCGTATGCTTCAATCGTCCGCATACCAATAGCAGGAGGGGCCGTGAGGTGGCTCAATCTTCGAACGACCAGTCGTCTCTCAGGACCTCCCGCTCACGTTCCCGCGACTGACGAGACGCCACTAAACCGACTGCGAAAGCGACGAAGCCCATTACCATATACCAATCGGCCGAAGCCTAGAAAGCGACAGGTCCTCAAACCTCTACAGCTTGCCCCACGATCCATGCCTTGGTCCCTTGCGCCTTCATTACCCTCCACCGCCCCGCGCCAAATCACTTCGCGTGCGCCTACTACCTGGTTCTCCATTCTCCTCGACAAATTCGAACCCCGTCGTAGTTGCGCGATTCCGCGTCAGCTTCATTCCTAAAGCTCTGTTACCTTCGATAAGATACATGTCGTCTTGCGCCCGTCTTTGAACGGCCTCATTATGACAATTCGCATACAAAGCTTTGAAGGTCGCGTTTGCTCTGTGGACTCGCCTCGAGGCCACTCTCAGTCAACGTGAAGCGCGCAAGTACTGCCGATATGGAGGAGGCATCCGGTGGCCAGTCGCAGGCCCATCCCGGCGCCGGCGCTGCCTCCTCCACGGGGGCATCATCTGCTTCCGCTGCCGCCTCGTCAGTCGCCCCCGTACCTGCTTCGACTCCAGCAGCGCCTTCCGCTGCGACTCCAGCCTCTACTTCCGGTCCCGGCCAGCTTTCCAAAAGGAGGAGAGGACTGGGTGTTGTTACACCCAATGCCTGTACCGAGTGTCGGAAAAAGCGTGCCAAGGTATGCGATTGTCAGACTTCGTGACACACCAAGGTGCTCTCATTCCATTCCAAGTTCCGTTATCTGACCTCTTTGCTGCTACTAGTGCGACGGCCAAAAGCCATGCGGCCGCTGTAAGGCTCAGAAAGACGTAGAGTGTGTGTACGAGATCCCGGTTCGCCAATCCAAGGAGCATCTCCGGACCGAGATTGAGCAATTGCGCCAACGTCAGCGCTCCAGTGACCAGGTCATCGCAGCGCTGGTGCGGTCCGACATGTGGGAAGATGTGCTCCAGCGCCTGCGCAACGGTCAAAGCCTCGAGTCAGTATCGGAATGGCTTGGCGGCACCCTCCCATCTGGCGGCGGTCCTCGGCCGTCCTTCAGTCGTCCGGCTGAGCCATCCAGTGAAGCGAGCGGCAGCTTGAATACACGCTCTGGATACCCAGGATCAGGCCCTGCCCCAATCAGGACAAGAAACCTTGGGGGAGCTGGATCGGTGACCATGAGTCCCAATACAGGACAGTCGGGATTGCGTCAGGATCTGGACCCCAACAGTCCTTGGCACCTTTCGTCGCATAGTCAAAGCACTAGGAGTAACTCTCATCCTGACTTGATGAACTGGAGCGCAGACACAAATAGGCTCCCTCAAGGGCCCATTGATTCATGGCCGGAAAGTGCTAGTAACACTGAGGCGTCTGAAGGTGGGAGGTATCAAGGGCTTGATCAGGTTCTCGCACCACTTGAGTTGCCTGACATGAAGCTGCCCCCTGAGAACTGGACGAATATCACTGAGGACGGCTCTCTGGTTCAACACCTACTTGCCCTGTACTTTTGCTGGGAATATCCAACATTCGCATCGTTGAGCAAAGAGCACTTCCTTAGAGATTTCCAAAACGGCATATCCCGATACTGTTCGCCCATCTTGGTCAATGCCCTCTTGGCCTTGGGATGCCGCTTCTCCAGCAAGTCCAGTACGCGAGCTAACCCTAGCGACCCTTACACTTCGGGGGATCACTTTTTCAAAGAGGCACAGCGACTCTTCTACCTCGAGGACGACCACCATAATTTAACGACCATCCAGGCTTTGGGGATAATGTCCATACGCGAGGCTAGCTGTGGACGAGACTCGGAAAGTTGGTACTACGCCGGTCAAAGCATCCGTTTGGCCATTGAGATGGGGCTCCATCAGCTGCAGGACGACGGAGACCACGATGAGTTTGCAGTTCAGGCTGCCACTTTCTGGGGCGCTTTCGCTCTAGACCAGTAAGTCTATTGCCAGTGTGCGAAGCATGTGTCCTAGCTAATTGCCCCCTAGCGCTTGGTCTCTGGCGACTGGCTCGCTTCCCCAATGTTCATGTTTCCCTCACCTGCCGCCGAAGCCCGCCATAATCGATGATATTGAAGCGTCATTGTGGATTCCTTATACCGATGATGGTAAGTCTGTCTGCAGTTGTGTTACGATCATGTTTGACTGATCAATGCTGAATTAGGGGCGCCACTGCAACGCTCAGCTGAGCAACCTTCCAATGTTCGGTCCGTTTACAAGTGTTTCTGCGAACTGAGTGAGCTTGTACATCAGAGCCTCTACATCCTCCACTCTCCAGGCAGGCCGTTGACCAGCCGTGACCTCCTCGGCATCTACACCCAATACCTGAATTGGTATGATAGGATACCTGAAGTCCTCAGATTGGGTCATAATTTCACCCCCGCTGTGCTCTTTGCGCAGTAAGTCTCCCTCTGACGACGAATTCCACAAGGTTTTAGCTAATTTCATCCCAGCATGTATTACCATTTTGCGATCCTTCTCCTCTTCCGGCCTCTGATCAAGCTTCGGATAATTGGCTCCAAGCTCCTACCAAGAGACGTGTGCTGTCAGGCCGCAGATGCGATTCAGGGCCTGCTACGCTCCTACTCGCAACTGTACACCTTGCGCCGGACACCCTCATTTGTGCCCTACTTCGTTCTGACATCTGCTATTATGCATTTGGCCATCGGAGCAATAGCACCAGCCCCGCAGAGAGACTACGATGAATCAGGCGAGGCAGCGCCCGAGTCGTCTGCTGGAACGTCGCATCCTCCCCGTGGCGTAGAAGCAATCAAACAAGGCATCCGAGATTTGGAGGAGATGGCGCCGTGCCATCATTTCGCGGAACAAGCGCTCAATATCCTGCGGTACCTCGCCAAGAAATGGGGTTTAGAGGTCGACATGGGCTCAACACCCACTTCGGATGCCGAGTATGCACAGCTTGCCAGGCCGTACACTAGCAGTCTGAATTTCTTCGCGCCCAATGTCCTCGAAGACGACTTCATTTGCGTGTGGGGAGGCGGCCTTGGCAGCGGCGAGGCGATGGAATCGAAGGCAGCAGCGGGAACGGGAAGTCAGGAGAACGCGTCAGTATCGCGAGCGGCGCAAATCATGGAGAATCCTCTATTTTGGCCATTCCCCATGCAAGGCCGCCCAATGCTTCCAACCGGACGTGAGTTGGAGGAAGCCGGATTTGAGAGGCTCTCATAGGAGTGTGCTCCGGAGGAAACGCCGGCAAGCCGAGCAACCAATTGGAAGAGGAAAAGGTACACCACTGACCCATATTGAGTCCCAAACACCTCGTATTTCCCTGTGGAATATGGATAGGGCGAATTGCGTAGGAGGATTTCACCCGTTCCGGAGTTTGGCCTGGGGGCAAGGCATGTCTGTTTTTTGATACCCCGAGCCCTTTCCCGTGAAGACACAGACGACCCGGTGTGATTGTGAACACGGTATTTCCAATCCGACATCACTGTATTATCTTGAATTGTACGGTAGCTGTATCAAGAAGGGACGAATCTATGTAGAAGACTGAAGAGATGCAAAAGTTCAAGCGAACATGCCTACACGACCGGTGCCTTTCACATGGAAGTCAATCGGACGGGATGGTATCCGTATTGAAAGGACTGAAGCTATGCAACTAATGGATTGCGCAGGTCCAGGGATGGTCGTTCCCGAGGCATGCAACATAATTTTATTGGCTCAATGCGGCACACTGCTTGGTTGGCCGTGTACTTTCCCGCCTCATGCTGCAATCTCCAGTTAGGTAGGCACTTTACTTGGAGCTAGGTACCTTCCACCTGTGCTCGCTGTACTGTGCCTGTGCCTGTGCCTGTGCCATGGCCGAACGGCTTATGACACCCAGCCTCGGCTCAAAGTCGGCGCCCGGGCTGACCTCAGGCTAGCGCAGGACGAAGACCTGGACTGAGGGAGGCAGGTAGAGGCAGCTAGTTTAGCAACACCCAGCGCATCCCGTCACGCCCGTCCACGTCGCGATGCGCCGCGCTGAGCACTTCATCACTTCCACCTACCTCACCACTTTCCTCTATTTGGAATTTCTTGTGTTCAGAGCAGTTGTTGAATAACTAATTCGCGCTTTGCCGCCAATACCCTCGACATTTCCTTAATCACGCCCATTTTTCGTCCTCTTGCTGTCATTCCTTGGTATTGCGACTCTCCTTACCCTTCTGTCGCTTCTCATCTCTAGTCGCCGTCTTCAACTCGATGCCGTAGAGACCTCGCGATGTCGACCTCAGCCGACGTTCCCAACAAGACACGACTATCGCACCAGCCATCACCTATACGTGCTGTGCTTTCGCTGCCGCCGCAATGGCTGCAAATGTATGATGAATTCATCACCAAGAACGCCAGCCAGGTTTCGCAAATAGAGTCGGCCCTTCGGTCTCTGACCTACATCATCCCTGGTAATGCCACTCCCCGCGAAACGACTCGATTGCCTTCCTACTAACCTTTGAGCCCCAGGTCGGTTCCGGGACGCCGAAATCGCATCCGAAACTCTGCATTCGAGTGTGCAACTCCTTTCACTCTATCATGATACCCTACTCATGCGCGCCTTGTCGCGCATCCCTATGGCACGACTACCATCACCCCACAGTCGGTATACCAAGCACTGGACTCAGCGCAGCCCCATGTACCGCCGAATTGCCATGCTCTTGCAGATGGTGACCTATACTCAACTACTGTGCGAGATGGCCGCCAAAAGACGAGGAGGCGAACGCAGCAGATGGCGCGTTATCGTCCTCCTCGAAGCTATCAAAGCCATCTGTCGTCTTTTGCTGCTTCGAGTCACTCGCGCCCGTCCTATCGTCACGCCAGTCTTACCGGAGCGGGAACCCATTCCAGAAGAGCCAGAGTCGGAGGAGGATACCGGCCTGAAGGAGCTGATGGGCGAGTCGGCCAATGGTCATGCCTCCGAAGCTGGGGATGACGCCCCCAAGCCCCACGAGAAAGATTGGTCAATGCCCAGAACTGGCATGAGTTTGCCCTCTTTACCGAATGCCGGGGACATCAGTGGCTACCTGTTGAGCAAGGTTCTGACCGCTGACGATGTCAAGCCAGCGGCAAAGCTGCTGAATCAACTTCAGGGTAGCGCGCAGGCAGCCGAAGTGCTTCACATACTTGCACCATTGGTGTACGCTGTCGCACTCTCAAGGAGCAAGAACAAGAAATCCTGGACACCGTGGCTTTTTGGATTGACCGTCGAATACGCGGCTCGCCAGCTGAGGGACCGTAGTTTCAGGACTACGCCTCTAGAACGCGACGAATGGAGCAAGAGAGGCTGGGCCATGGGATGGTGGACAATGCGTGGGGCATTCTATGAGAACATTATGAAGGGCGTCGTCGGAGGCGTCAGATCAAGGGTACCTGGGATCATCGGTGGCATCCTGGAGGACTACGAGTATCTGTGGGAAAATTACTACTTCAGCACCAGTGCTTGAGCACAGATTGCGATTGGCAGCCAACCTTTGCGGCCCGCAGGTAGACTGACTGGAGGTCGCTGCCTTGCTCACATCTGAGCAAGATTTCGACAAGACTCGCTGTACGCCGAAGTTTTGGACCATGTCCTCAAGGGTTTTGCCAGACCGCCACACGCACACATGCACACACGCACCCCAACAAGATATGCCCTGCAACAAACAGCAAGGCACGAGCGCAGGGGCAGCTTTTCTTTTTCTACATCTACCATGCGGCCGACTGGGTACATTGTGCAAGCTGAGACATGTTGGTCAACACACCTGAGTCGCTTTCGAGAATGGTCGATGCCAAGTCGAATTACACTGCTCCGACGGGCGCTGGGGAATCGGTCTCGTTGGGGGCGCACTATGCGGCTCATGGACGATGGCCAGGGCTAAGACATATTGTTAACGGCCACCTGTCTTCCTGCAGAAGTACATGGCGTACAGGGAGACCTTTGAGAGCTTGGCTTATCCTAGTGGTTAAGGCCCACGGAGATTTTCCCGGTACTGCGGTTTGCGGTGTGCAATTTCGTGGCTGAAGCTGAGATGATGGAGGATGGCGGGGAGCGACTAAGATCGTCCCCCGTCTCTCATCCTACACGATCCGAGACAGCTGCCCTATCCGCTGCGAAAAAGGGATGCGGCTATGACGCCGTCGGGAGTTGTATTTATCGGGGATGGCGGATTATGTTCCAGCAACGCTACGCTGAGACTGATTCTATCCGCGTCTTACCAGACGTGGGAAGTTGAGCCGCTGTTCCTACTGATTGACAGATGGCTCAGTGGCAATCCCGGGTTTGCTGTCAAAGTTGGACACGGACATGCAGATACGTGTTGCGGCTCGTGATAATGTAACAAGGATGAATGTCAGAAGGGTTATTGGACATCGCTTGGGCGGATTGAATTGTTTCCATATTTCACATCAACACCCATCTGTATCCCTGTGGACTGAGTTATCCCTTGGTCGCCATTGAAGCTGAAGTAATTTGATTGCTATTTCCGTCGGTCTTGGTGCATTGTTTTGCTCGTCGCCCCGTAAACCCCTTGCCTGACAGACAGCCCACGTTTTTTCCTTGAGAAGAAGCAGCAGCAACACACCGCTAATTGACTTGGAGGGCAGCGCTTGGGCAGGGGTTGGATGCCACGCTGATTCGAGCTGGAGGTGTGGCACATGGCCGTCGATCGTGTGCCGGATAGCAACGGCGTCTGGGCCGGCTGTGGTATATTGCTTTTTCGAGTTCCACGTCGTCAGGGCTAGGCCTCAAGTGAGTGAGTGGTCTGTCCCGTGGCTCATTCGGACCTCAGGTGGCAGGCATGTGCAAATTCTTCACACGGATCGGAATTCGAGTCCTGACAGCGCCCGGAGATGTGGTCCTGAGTCGCACCGGGCTGGGCTGGGCTGGACTGGGCAGGCTAGGGATGGCAGCTGTATGGCATCATATCGCATCTCGAATGCCAGACAGTAACTGAAAAGCATATGCCTACGTTGTCGATGGTGGCAGGGAGTCCATCATTCAGCAAGTTGGGCTGCATTTACCGGCTGTCAGCTCGAATGGCCTGCATATCGGCATCATTGAGGCCCAGTCAATCGGGTCGTCATCCGTCATATTTCGCTTGCACAAGTCATCAGGGGAACATGGACGTCACGTCCGAACCGATGGCAGCCTTGGAGGAAGCCATGCAGAGTCCAGCCCCGTCTAGACAGACTCGACAGCCTTTATCTAGGCACAAATGCAACCCCAGATGGTATCCGTGGCGCGCCGTAGCTCGACAACGGTTGGGTCAAAAGTGGGTGTGAGGCATCCATACAGCAAGTCCTGAACGATCCAGGTCGTCAAGAGATACGGATACCACGACAGAGAGGCCGGAACCTAGCCGCGAGTCAACGGCCACTTGCGAGTTACGCCTCCGAGTATCTACAAGACGGCAGCGAGACGGATCAGCATGGATGCTGTTGCCGCGAAGAGAAGGATGCAGCAGAGAGAATACGTATCCAAGTGACGAAGCGAGCCCAAGACGGCCATATCAGGCCATCTCCACTGGTCATTCCATCGTCTCTTAGACGCGGCATGCGAAATTTGAATCATCGCGGATCCATTTTCGACTGGGAATGAGTCCGGAGGGCTAGGAGGGAGGAGGGGAGGGGCTAGAAAATAAAAAAAAAGCAATATCCACACCAGCCCTAAGCCTCAACGAGATGCGAATGCAGCAAGCTACGCAATTGAGAACGTTGCCCATTGGCCTGTCTTCCCCAGATCTTGCCCACAGTTTTGGGGCAGTCGACTATCGGCCACTTGTTCGTCTATCGATCGGAGAGTTGTGGATTAGTGCGCGGATAGCTATGGATAGGGTTTTTCTGTCAAGAGGAAGTAGTGTTGATGAATGGACAGAGACGGACCATCCCTGAGAAGGGTTTGTTCCGAGCCAATCCAAGCGTGGCTAGAGGGAGCGAGACAGACATGGGTTGTTGGCTGATGGGGTAAGTCAAGACACAGCTTGCAGGAATCTGCAACTCATCTGCGTCTTCCTATTCTTCGTACGTCCGTACCGGGGGCAGTTGTTTCTTCTCAGGACTGACGAGCATGACAGCACATCGGCGCGCAGAGTGGCAGCGGCACGACACCACTCGACAGGGGGTTGGTCCATGGTGCATAGGTTGATTGTTGGGTGTCTTGCCTTGCTCGAGCATGGAACCCAACTGAGGAACCGAGCCCGAAGCCTGAGCCTGCCCTGCCCTGCCCGGTCCTGCGCTGCCTGAGCCTCGTCCTGTCTGGCATGAACGGCGCCGAGTTTCGTCTGATGTCGTCTGGCCTTGCCTTGTCCATCTGAATCTAGCCTTGACTTTGGACGCTGCAATCGATGGTTGTCAATCGGCTTAGCTGTCTGTCCCTGGCCTGTCCCTGGCCTGGCCCTGATCCCGATGACGCCGACGCCGCTCCCCAGACCAGTGCCTTTACCCCTGCTTGTTATCGTCTTCTCCCTTGTCCGCTGCCACTGCATAGGTAGTATATCGAACCCCAGCCCATTTGGGCTCCAGTTAAGATTACCTACTGCAGACCATCGCGGCGTGTCGTACGTACGGATACGTACCCGACTCTGCACATGCGCTCCGCGTCTGCAGAATAGAACCTTGCTATGTATTGCATAGCTCCAGAGCTGTCTCTCGCTCGTCTTCGAGACTGAATTTACCCAGTATACGTACATACAGATAGTGAGGCGTGTCTGGTAGCGAGTGCGGCGCCAGCGACGACGACAACGAAGACGAGGCCAGAGAGCCGGAGTGTCAGAGTGTCCCCATTGCTTTTTCCTCGCGATACTCTGAGACTAGGGTCAGCCACCCAGGACCACTCGCTTTACCCTTCTTTTTCTGATTCAGGCCGGGAGGAAGAAAAACAACGCTGGCAAGAGCAGAAACAACCCTGAGCACGCCGTCTATGGATCCCACCAGATCGTGAGCGGCAGGGGAATAGTACCGTCAGATCACCCACCCACACACGCGCGCCCATACACACACACACACACACACACACACACACACACACACACACCCTTTCTTTCATCATTCTCACTCCCGTCGCACTGTTGTGCAAGAACTCGCCGCTGATCTTACATGACGACTCGCCTCTGCCCATCCCTAGCCTCTTCCATTTTATATTTGGTGGTCCTTGTCCATCTGCAGTCACCCGTGCCGACAAGCTCAGACCAAACAGCCCCAAGAAGCTTGAAGCTGTCCATCAGCATCAGATAACACTGGACACAGCCAAGCATAACCTCGGCGGCAACCAGTCAATTGTCCGACGGCCGATATTTCAGGAACGAGACGCCCGCGACATGAGCCTGACCATCTCGAATCGATCTTTTGGGCATCACGGTTCTATCGGGGGAAACGCTTTTGCTCCGTTTCCCCCACCACACCATGGGTATCCCATGCATCGCCAACCATGGCCCACGACTCGTCCGCCTGTCCAGGTTCAGCTACAGGACCGAGACAACGCTACTGCCTTGATCAATGCGAACAGTGTCCGTCATAATGCCGGAATATCACTCCAGGGTAAACACTTCGACGCCATATCCTTCCCCTCCACGACCTCCACCACAACTCCAGCCTCCAAGAAGTCAAACGACGAGGTTGAAAGTCACAGCCAGACTGCGAGTGTCACTAGCAGCAGATTTGCAACACCAGCTTCAGGACCCACAGTCGGCTCTATCAACCCCTTCGATCTATCTACAACCTCTTCAAGTACGCCTCGCCATGTTCTCATTCGCGTGGATGGTGATGCCGGCTCCTACCTCGATAGTGTCACTGGCCAACCGGCATTTCAGGAACAGAATCTCCCTTCGGAGTTAAATGGCTCATTGTCGGTTAGTAACGGGGACCCGATTCAGACGGGCTGGAGTGTGGACTATGCTGGCCTGTCCCGTACATCCCGAGATTATGGCAATGGAATCGGCTGGCGATTGCAGGAAGCCGAGGCCGTCGCCGACCCTCACCAGACGTGTAGTTGGCCCCGGAAATTTGTCTGCTCATTGTGCTCGTTACGATGGAATGCCGTTCCCCTACCAGCAAAAGTTATCCGCGGCGATGTCAGTCAGAAAGACAGGATCGACTTAAGAATCGTAAGCGAAACGACACCATCGCGCTGCCATGACAATTAATGTTGCTGATGACAACCAGCCGAATCCGACAGATGCTAAGAGAGATCCAACCTTCTCTCGACCCGGATGCTCCGAAGTACGTTATGGCAATGTGACGTGACCAGAGAGTGTCGGGCTGACAATGGGCCAACTCACAGTTTCACTACTATCTCGATCATGAATGTTCCGCCAACGAGCCGTGCGTTCGGGGCCTTTGCCAAACTTGCCGGCCCGTGTCCCTGTTGCCAGACTTGCAACCTACGACGCACTGCTGCCCGCCGCAGATTGCTGAGCCGGGGTATCTCAAAGAGATTTACCGCTGCATTATGGACAACTGTGCATTTCTAACAGACACCAGACGGGAGATGAAGGTTCGCATCAAACCACTCGACCATCTTGCTTCAAGCTAACCCATCCAGGCTCATCTACATTCCCCAAGAAAGAACGGCCATAAAGCGTATCTCACGGGCTTAGCCAATCGCATTGAGACTGGGCAGATGCTCAGTGCCATTGATAAGGAGATATCGTCGCGTCTGATGCTCATGTTTAACGATAGGGACGCCCGAGGACAAAAGTCCATCTCGCAACCCATCAACACCGTTCTGGGCCCAGAGGATATCAGCAGCCCCGCGGTACTACGCGAACACACGCAGTGGATGTCCTATCTTGGCCTGCATACGCCCGAGCTTCACCGACGTGACTTTTTTGATCCGAGGACAAACCAGTGGTACTACCGAGAATACAACCTTGACGACGATTTCGAGGACGCATGCGAGAACACCAGGGTTATATCTCACGCCACCGGCCGTGCTGTAAGGACAAGCGACTTTCTTTGGCGATAGACACCTTCGTCCCGTCATCCGTAACACCCCACATCACACGTCACTCGGCATGGAGATCATTCGCACGTACTAACCTTGATACTGCTTTTCTTGTTTTTATAATCGCAGCTTGAAGGCGTTTGAGGGTGAAGGCAACAAAGACTAAGACGCGGAAACGGGGGCCCAGATATTTTCTTACGACTTGAATGCCACGCTACGACAGGCAAAACAGGGCCTTTTCTTAGTAACGAGGACGATGGAGATCAGTATTGCAACTGACGGTAAGCATCTTCGGTGCTTTCGGCTCACACTTTCGAGGTTGCGATTGTACTTTTGGGAGAGGCGTCGATTGTGATTGAAAAGGCGGAGGCTTTTAGGCTGTCCTAGTTCCCTACGAGGAAGGCGCATTTTTCTTGGGGCGCTGGATATACCCTGCCATTCTGGATCACAAGAGTCTGAATTGCTTTGTTTCATTTCGAAAGCTACAGCTTTGAGTATTCCCGGTTATTTAACGGAGTCGTCGCTCTATATGAGTAAGGTTCCGTTTGCAGTTGGTATGCTGGATTTTGTTAAATTAGGGTTGGAGAATGTGGCAGTTGGATGCCAACTTTTTCGGCCCGTGGTGATTCAGATGAGGCTACTAGCTCTTAGTTTCAGCTCGGTTAAGACTGATATTAGGTCTTTCACGGGCCAGCCACGCAAATATATTTCTGGAAAGCCTGGATATCGTGCAGCTAATTGACAACCCTTGCAGGAGATATATACGATGTGACATGTTTTCAGCGGCTGATGCGGCTACATCGATGCCCGTTCCCAAAGAGGGGTCCCCTGCCCAGACAATCAATTCATTCCTCGCCCGGGGTCTCAAGACTGCGAGTTGGTCGCGGAAGCCAGAGCCGACGATGGAGGCGGGTGGAAAAGCTTGGCTAACCGGACAAGCAGCCGCGGGAAAGACATTTGGACGTGTCTGAGTCTCGGGAACGTAGGGCTACGCCGATCACTCTAATGATCTCGGCCTCGTAGCTCGCTTCTGTCACATCTATCGGTGAAGTGTGCGCTCCTTCATCGTTCGGTCTTAACATGGACTTGTTGAAGTGACTTGCCATAGATTACGTGGAGAGTGGCAGTAAACCAGAGCGCTCGATTTTCCCTTGTATTCCTACACGGACCTGGAAAGTCCTCACAAAGCATGAACTCCGTCGACGCATTAGCAAGCATCTACCGGAACCTCCTCATTGGGGTTCTTGCGGGATGACTAACAACGTAATGCTTTTGTCTACGCCGTTAGACGATTCAAAAGCCAACTCCATGCCCAGATTCGGAAACCTCGTTACTGGCTACCGAGATAGTTGTTTATCAAACGCATACCTTGAGGCGTGGCCAGGCCTACATAACAATCCTAGAAGACGATGGACCGGGCGATACAGTAAAGCAAGCATCACATACACAGAGACAACAAATGAGGCGATTGACAACGACTGAGCGAGACGCACAAAACAAAAAAAGTGGTAGACATACAACACCGGGCATTCGCCGGTCGTCACCGACCCGACTACTACTCCAGCCCTCACTGGCTTATCTATGGGAGAGCGGACGGGATCCCGAGTTCTCCAGTGGGTATGGTCGTATGTATCAGCGGCGACGACAAATTTGAATATGAACTCTCGGATGTTGAGCTTGTGCTTACATCTGTGCGGGGGCAATCTCCACCGACAGGGTGTCTTTTAGTCCAGTATTGCCGTATGACCAATTATCTGCGATCATACTATAAGCTGGGATTTATAATAGACTTGTTCCTGCACCTGTATCAAATGTTGGTGTAGTTGATTTCGTCTGAAGTAGTGGCGGAGAACTCCGGGCTGGAGTAAACATCAACCCATCTTCCTCCAAACTGTCTGCGTTGTCGCAGGGATAACTAGGTAGCCTGGCGTACAAATTCATTAGTGACATATCAGAGTCATTGTGCGTCGGACTTGCTGTTTCTCTGAAGACTGTCTTGGGTCGGTGCTCCAGCTCAGCCTGCGTCAAAAGAGATTGATGTGTTGCGGGAATGTACGTCTAGTAGCGATACCATCAAAGCGAAATTTCGAAAACGTCGGCCTTTCGTCGATCGTAAAACATCGAAGAAAGGGCTTCTTATCACTGTGTCTGATAGGTTGAATAACCACTACGAAAGCAACGACAAGTATCATAATGCCTTGAAGTCTGCCATTGAACCGGCCAAAAGAGCAAGATAAGTTGGAAATGACGATGACTGCCGTGGAGAAACGGTTGAGATTGTGTAGGGAACACACATGGTCTTCTTCATAATGAGTTGGTGGTTCTTAATGTTTCCCAGGGTTCAAGTGCAATAGAGACTGCGAGGGTGCTGTGATACTAGCAACAGCATACCAATTCATTTAGAATGAAAGTAATATCCGTGAGTGCCCACCCAGTAAACAACCTAGGTACATACAACCCTATAGACGTCCATCAGATCAAAGAAAAGTACCAAAGAGTCTAAACGAGGTCTCTCTCCGGAGTCTTCACCATGTTCTATCTCACCCTACCAGTACCTGGTCTTGCAGCGATAGCTCAACCTATTCTTTGGGCCATGATCACCTTTCTGCAGTGTCTTATAGTGGCTGGAGTCCCGGGTTTGCATCCGCAATTGCCAAAGTCAATGCCGGTCAGCCGAGGCGATGTTCTTGGAGACCTTGGGTTTCTTCAGTTCGAAGAACAGGGTTGTATCGTGTCGTCTGAGACAAAGCACGCTCGTCCCAGCAGACTTCAGATGGTTCCATTCATCAACTTACAACATCAAGTGAACTGCTATATAGGTACTCTGCCGTCATGCTGCAGAGCCATATCAAGGGTATGTTCATCCCGTTGTCAACAAGTCGGCCCCTGGCCGTGTTGCATGCGACAAGAGACTTCACGCAGGATTCACAGCTATCAAAAGAAAGCACATACACTTTCTGGTCTAAATGGCTCATATCTCCACAGTGAATGTAACGAGGGCATAATCCCATTTTCCCGTGGACAACACCTGGAAAATATGGGGGCTTGGAAGCAGTTGTGGGATTGCAAAATCTATTGGATGATCGACAGGATCAGACAGCATCAATGCATCTTAGAGCCATTAAGATCCCGCGGGGACACGCGGCAACCACACAACCAACGTCACGAGACGACCTTGATCGAAGATGAAGCAGAGAAGAATTTCGACTAGATACAAATCATCGGGTTTGCCTCAATGGGTGGGGGGCCTCGGATGTATTAAAAAGGTGCGACGTGATCGACGACAGATCTCGCACCCACTCATTTGCAGTTGCTCCTCGCAGTCAGAATGACCAACATTCCGCTAAAAACCCATCCAGTCAGCCCCGCGACTCCCTGGTCTGACTTGTTGAGGGGGTCTCCATCTTTGCGTGACGATCTTCACGCAAATGCCTCCCTGTGACATCATCGTTCAAGTCATGCGCCAATGTTTGGTGGTTGTAAATCCCATGCTAGCAGTACATAGGAAACGCATAACACATCAATTGACATCGAGGAAGCAATGCTGCCCGAGACTACTCTGGCAAAGAGGTGCTCGAGCGAGCCCAAGGACATCAGACATGCGGCTGAGATAGCCTTGGCAGACACGGACTGTAGCCCCCTTCCACCGTCCCAGAGTTGGTGTCCTCACCGACAAAAGATTACTCGAAAATATGCCAGCTTTGCAAATGCGATTCACTTACCTTTGCCACTTGATCGTCGCAAGCTCGGTGTAGTCCAAGCTTCACTTCACGTACAACAGACATCCACTAATGACGATGACAACCGGGATGACCAAAGACTTTGCGGCGGCCATGTTCTGCTTTTGCGGAGCTGCTTTGGCGCTCATGTGTCTGTTCTCGACGACCGCGGTTGCGAACTATTCCTCGGGGTAGCTTGACAGGCTGTAAATTTAGCTGTGGACTTTCAGGGTCTCACAGAGGCCCAAAGAAAACGCCAGGGAAATCAGCGAGAACAGGAGCGACGCTACAGAGTAGGGTTAAACTTCATCGCCACGGGCGGAGGCGTTTGACTATCAGACCAGAGCGGAGGCGCGTCAGTCCCATAGTCAGACGCTGCCAAATTTCGGAAGCCATTGACCTCTTCTCGTTGCAAATAGAGTTGTCACGTTTGCACCATAACGAGCAACGGCATCGGAAAATAACGTAAATACGCGCTCTGGTGCTCAGCCGCCCCCTGGACGGGACCACCATCTTAGAGCTGAATGACAGATTCGCAGTGTCTCAGGAGTCCGCTTTGGGAGCATGGCGTTTTCTCCGGAAATGAGGTTCTCGTGCTTGTGTGTTTGTGAATAACGATGGGTGGCCAGTGCAGACAGGCAGAAAGGCGGCCTCTTGCTTGCCAAGTTAGTCGACCCGACGCCAGAGACGGTCGAAACTTATTAGCGATGCCGCGGAACAGGCGCGGAACAACCGTGGCACGGCGTCGCAGGCACGAGCGTTGAAAAGGTGTTTCCCCCCTTTCTTCCCTTTTGAAGAGTGCTTGCGGGGAACAGCCCATGCCGTAGATCTCGGAGCTCATGGCGATCAAGTGGGTTAGCCGCCACGATGGAGTCGAGACTGACCTCGCCACGTTGTCTGCGGACGATGGGCTTAACGGGTTTCAACGCGTTGCAGAGATTTTTGAAGCCAACGGGCTCTAACGCGCGCGTTCCTGAAATAGTGTACCTGTTCGCGCCTTAGCTCGACAGAACCTGGGCGGGCGAGACCATGATGGGACGGATGGTAGAGGCGAGCCCAGAGAGCATTGACGGTCAATCTCTAGCTCTTGTGAGTGCGGTGGCTTGGAGTCAAAAGGAGCGCTGCTTCGATCTCTCTCTCTCTCGAGAGAAAGAACGAGCGAGATATCCGTACAACGGGTATTCTAACAGGGCAAGAGGAGCAGCTCCACTACGGGCCGAAGAGGGAGGAGACCTGGAAGCGGTTGTACATGTGCTTCATACTCGATGTGTCTCTTCTTGCGAGCTTTGAGCGTTGGAAAGC